ACAGATGATAGATAGATAGATAGATAGATAGATAGATAGATAGATAGATAGATAGATAGATAAATGAATGATAGAGTGTGTGTGTGTGTGTGTGTGTGTGTGTGTGTGTGTGTGTGTGTGTGTGTGTGTAGTACCAGAAAGTGAAACCTTACTGCCTTAGCCTGCTAGGCACTGACTGGGAGTACAGGCAATGCGTTGCCGCATGGCTCTTAGTGACTTGCTCATGAGAATCAGATCCTCGCCTCCCATGGCTAACCAGGATGATAAATCAGGAAGTTTTAAACGTAGTCCCATTGTACTAATGACTCGACCTCTATGTGACCCTTCCTCGGGTCCTAAAAACCCTCCTCAAATATCTGTCTACATATTTACTTAAGACACGGTTTCTCTGTGTAGCCTGGAACTCACTGTGTACACCAAGCTGACCTCATTGAGAGCCCTGCTTCTGCTTCCCAAGTGCTGGGATTAAAGCCACGCACCATCACGCCGGGCTAGCTGCCCATATTTTAAAAAGCAACAGTGAGACTGGAAACCCTACAGTTCACTCTCGGGTACCTATGGCTCCTGGAGGGAAAGCGCCTGTCATTCTTGTTGATGTCTGACTAAGGAGAAGGCACAGTGACTGTTTCAGATGTCACAGCTCAGGGGACCCACTTGTTTCCATAGGGTCCGCTGGTGCTCTCCAGTTGGATTTCCTAATTCCATTTCCAAGGCCGTTCATTTGTGGAGGAAGGTGGTGCTTAAAGACCAGAAATGCATTGTCTGTGGTCCTGGAGACCGGAATGTGGAGACCACGGTGTTAGCAAGGTCCATTCCATGCTCCTCTTTGACGCAGATGGCCAGCCTTGTGTTTCCCCTGAGAAATTTGCTTTCCTCCTATAAAGAGGGAAGGTGACACACGATATACTGTAATTATTTTCAAAAACACATTCTGTCCCCGATCCTAGGACTTAAATAAATTGAGTCTTTCCCTAGCTATGTTGGATCAGGGAAATTTATTAAATTTTGGCACTTTTACTAGAGACAAACAAAATTGCTTAAACTTAAACCCAATAACCACACAGCACAATGGCAGGTCGCACAGCAGTTGAATCAGCAGCTAGGTTTTACAACACTAATATACCAAGCAATGGCTAATGGCCACAGTGCTTCCCAGTGCTGGGGATGGGAATGTCCAATACTGTCTATATCAATGCACACTTAAAAAGAATAATTAGATAAATACCTGATTGTGATCTCCCTGGGAGAGCTGCCAATGTATGCTTTCTTCCTGAATGGTCAACCACGCAGGAAGCCACATCAGACAGGATCTCAAATAGTTGAAGATTCTTCACTAATTGAATTATACGGTTTTAAACTCTTCATTTGCAAGAGGAGAAATATCGAGGAGGCCAAAGTGTACACGGTTTGCTGGAGATGAAAATGAGTCACTTTCAGCAATATCTTGAATGGAAACTGAGACACTGTATGTTGTCCGCTACAGAATACAGTTTAATATGGGGACCAGAGAGATGCCCCCGTGGGCAAAAGTGATTGTTGCACAAATGTGAGAACCTGAGTTCAGATCTACACTCACATGAAAATCTGGGTGTGGCTACCTGTGACCCTAGATCTGCAGGGAGCAGAGCCAGGACACGGGTTGTTTCCGGTTTGTTTTCTGGGGTTTTGTTGCTCACTAGAACACAGTAAACAGATCTAAATATCATCTTTTAAATCTCAATCAGCACCAATCAAGAGAACTGAAGAAAAGGCAGATGAGAGGAAAGTGACCCTGACTTATTTTAGGCCATATCTGAGGAAACAGGAGGGATGGCAGCTGAAACAGACCCCAACCAACAGACTGGAGCAGAGGCAAGGCGGGCGGGCGGGCAGCACATGGTGCTGACAGTCCAAACAGCGGGAAACACACAGGCATTGCATAAACGGCTGGGGAGGAAAACCATCAGAACTCTGGAACAGTATCTCAGGTGCCTGCCAGGTTGAATTCTAGAAGGGCAGAAGACCTAAGCATGGGAAGTGAGAAAGTCAGAGTTCTAGAATAAACAAGGAAAAACTTCTTAGCCTCAGAATAGAACAGGCCTTTACAACATGATTTAAAATCTAAAGACACAAGTTAAAACTGAGAAATCAAAAATATCAGTAAAATACCATAAACCAAATAAAAACTGATGAAGGGTCTGTATCTTGTATTAACAGAAAAAGGAAATGTCTATAATATACAGTTCCTATTAAATGATAAGGGAAATGATAGGCTAGTATCTGCTCTAGCACTGAGCCACACCTCTATCCCTTTAACTCATTCTTACCTTAAAAGTAGAATTAGGGGAAGATGATCATTCTTCCATTAATTAATAAGTACAAATCTAAAAATTTCAGTGTTCTGTGCTGCTGATGATGTGGGGAAATTAGGTCTCATTCACTTCTGTTGGAAACTGATGCCGGGATAGGACTGAGCACAAGCATGGTGTGTGTGTGCGTAAAACAGTAAAGACCCAGAGCCCAGGGACAGGGGCAGGCCCGAGACGGGCTGCCTGAGATCACATCTGAAATCTCCCACTTGCTGTATGACCTTGGCAACACTACTAAGTACTCGGCGCCTGCATCCTATCTGCAGGGCCACTCTGATGCTGAATGAGATGATGCACACCCAGAACCCCACAGATCTTCAACACATGTCGGCTTTCTGTGTGAACAGAAAGTTAGGAATATTTACCATAAACTTGCTATACTATTCTCATAAAGTCAACTATACAAATTATGATTCATAGAGGAAAGTGATTTTAATTCCTCAAACAATGTAGCTTTTTGCTATTTCAAGCTGAGGAGTTCCAGAAATGTACCCTATACAACTCAGGCTCTTCATACACAACTCAGCACCGCAAAGTGTGAAAGGTGGAACTATTTAACTCTGTTTAGACAGCAAAGAGTGACGAGCCACACAATTGCAAACTCTTCCCTTGAGTTCGCTCTCACTCTTTTCTTACAGGGTAATCTCAATACAGATGTCACAGATAGCCTAGTGTGGTGGTGCACACTCTCATTCCAGCTCTGAAAAGTAGACGCAGGCAGGTCTCTGTGAGTTCAAGGCCATCTTGATCTACACAGTGTATTCCAGGCCAGCAAGGCTTGCATAGAAATACACTGTCTCAAAAGAAAACAAAACCAAAACAAATATCGAATTTAATATTGTAACAATTTAGCATGTAAATAATTTCAAAATGATAAAATTATCCTTTGGAGAAAAACATCAAAATTCCTTTTGTAAGACTTTTTAAAATTAAATAATAATTATTAAAAGATCTGCTGTTAATGCTCTTTATGTATACGTGTGTGTGTGAATGTATGCCTCCCATGGAGGTCAGACAAGCACGTCTGACCCCTTGTGAGCCTCCCAACATGGAAGTACCGGGAACTGAACTCAGCTCTTCTGGAAAAGCAGCAAGTGCTCTTAACTGCTGAACCATCTCTCCAACCCCCAAAATATCAAATTTCAATTAATCTAGTTTTTAAACACCCAAAGAACTAGGCAAACTCAATGCAAAATATATAGGAAACAAAAATATTAAAAGTAATTAGTTAAGAGCCAGACGGTGGTGGTGCATGCCTGTAATCCCAACACTGGTGAGGCAGAGGCAATTGGATCACTGTGAGATCAAGGTCAGCCTGGTCTACAGACTGAGTTCCAGGACAACCAAAGCTGTTACACAGAGAAACCTTGCCTCAAGAGAAAAAAAAAAGTAATTAATTAAAAGAAATGTTGACAGATCCATATGCTAATTCTAAAAAAAAAATAACACCATGCATTCTGTGCATTGTGGGATTCACCTAATTCTTAATTTTAGTCTAGTTATATAATTTTAAAACAAAATTAAACAAAAATGTTGCTGTTTTTGCAAAAGGTGTTAGGAAGTGATACATTCAAAGAGCTTGGTTCCCATTCCAAATTGATATATACCATTCAACCTTTCTCTTTTAATACATAACTTCTGTATATAACTCAAATTGATGGTTTTCTATTATGGAAGGAGAAGGGAAATGAGGAAGTTATTTTAAAATGTTGAAATCGTTCATAAAGACCTGTCTTAAGCGTTCTGAGGTGGTATTTTGACGTCAGTGTTCGAGGGGAGCCTGGACACTTGGAGAGCAAAAGATCGGTTCTCAGGACATTTTCCTCCTCTTCCTCCTCCTCCTCCTCCTCCTCCTCCTCTTCCTCCTCCTCCTCCTCCTCTTCCTCAATACTTGCCCTCCTTTGTTTCACCCTTCTGTGCACACCACCGTGGTCTGATTTGAAGGAAATCAACTTGGGGTGAGACATAAGTCTACTCCTAGCTGTTTACTATGGAGACAGCATTTTAATAACTGCTTAGGCACCTGTACCTCTTGGTCCTTTATCAAGACAGTAAATGAGCCGGGCGGTGGTGGCGCACACCTTTAATCCCAGCACTTGGGAGGCAGAGCCAGGTGGATCTCTGTGAGTTCAAGGCCAGCCTGGTCTCCAAAGCGAGTTCCAGGAAAGGCGCAAAGCTACACAGAGAAACCCTGTCTCGAAAAACCAAAACAAAACAAAACAAAACAAAACAAAAAAAAAGACAGTAAATGATTTTATTCTTCCACTGGCTTATTATTTTTAGTCAACTTTATTGAAGTATAACCATACAATAAACCTCATCTATTCAGAATGCATGGTGTGGTTAATTTATGTCCAATAGATACTTATGAGAACGCTGCCACAATCAAATCATGGAGCACAGTGTTATCAATAAATTATTGGCGCTGCCTGCTTGGCTTAGTTTGGTTTGGTTGGCCAGTTTAGCTAGCCACTGTAGAGGGGGTGTACCAGCATCTCATTGTGGTTCATTTGAATTTTCCATTGACTAGACGATGATGAGCACCTCCTCATGTGTTTATTGTCTATTTAGGAATTATCCAAACCTTTGCCCATTTTCCTTAAAATCTATTTTTATTACTTAAATCTATGAGTAATAAACTGCAGTAGGTACTTTAGGTATTCTGGAACTTTATGTATTCTACAAATACTTTGGTTCGTAAGGTTTTGTCCCAATACGTAGTTGATTTATTTATCATGTCACTGTGTGGGGCGGGGCTTTGGGGTTTCAAAAGCCCACACCATTCCCAGTTAGTGGACCAGATTTAAGCTCTCAGCTGCTGCTCCAGCGCCATGCCTGCTGCCCGCTGCCTGCCTGCCTGCCTGCTGCCCACTGCCTGCCTGCCCGCTGCCTGCTGCCCGCTGCCTGCCTGCCCGCTGCCCGCTGCCTGCTGCCTGCCCGCTGCCCACTGCCTGCTGCCCGCTGCTGTGCTTCCTACCATGCTGAGCATGGACTCTAATCCTCCGGAACTGTGAGCCCCAGATTAAGTATTTCTAAGTTGCCTCGGCCATGGTGTCTTATCACAGCAATAAAAAAGGAAACAAGGTGTTCCCTGTATCTTGCTTCAGTGCCTTTGCCAGAAACTGAAGGCTGAGGATGTATTCAGTGACGAACATTTGCCTACCATGAGCAAGGCCCGAGGGTTCAATCCCCAGCATCCCATACACCAAAAGTAAACAATTGACTTTATAGATACAGATCTCCTTAGGGACTGTATTCTCTTCCTTTGATCTCTGTAACTATCCTGCTTGTATTACACTGTATTAACACTGGAACTTTATAGGAATTCCTGAAACTATCACAGCCTTTTCTTTCCCTTGACTATTCTAAGTCCTTTTATCCTTATGCATTTTCAGTTGTTTGTCAATATCTAGGAAGGTTCTCTTGTTTTGTTTGAGACAAGGCACCCTGTAGCCCAGGCTGGTTCGAAAGTCACGATATAGCCAAGGATGATTTTGAACATCTGGTCCTCCTGTCTTTATCCCCAAAGTTCAGGGATCACAGCCCTGTGCCACCACAGTGTTATGCTGTGCTGGGATCAACCCCAGGGCTGTGTGTACACTAGGAAGCACTCTGTCAACTGAGGTACATTCTCAGTATATTGTCTAGAAACTCTGATTGGAGTTTCATTGAATTTATATATCAATTGGGAGAGTTGGTGCCCTAAATTGGCGGAGTCTTCCATTCCATGAAAACAATGTATCTTTCCACTCATTTAGATCCTTTAAAAACATGGTTTTGGGAACTGAACCTAAGGCCTCATGCATGTGAGGCAGTTGATCTAACGATGGACTATACCGAATTCCTCATTTAGCCATTTCAGGACTTCTCCCAGCAGTTGTCCATGTCCGGCAAACACTGACTCACAATCTCTCTAATCTCCAAGAGCAACAAGACATTTGGACAGTGTTCTCTCTTCTGTGGGTATGAACAGTCAGACATCAGTCCCCACAAACCAGACCTGAAACCATTCTAGAAATGACCTGTCTAAAAATCCAAGTAACAGAAGGAATCCCGTCAATGCAAATCAACACCTGTGACAATGCTTCGGAAGGACAGCCAGATTTAGAAACAGCAACCCAGAAGCGTGGGGGGGGGGGGTCTCTCTGGAACAAGATGCACAATTTTACAACTTACAATTCTTTTTGCTACTGGGATCTGCTACAACTTTTGTTGACCAGACAAATGATCCCTATCTTTAAAGGAGTTCTTGGGCAATCTTACTCAGTACGAGTCCCCGAAGGAACAGATTTCAGCTGTATACAACATCTCAGTGTGCTGAGGCCTGTGGATGTTAACTGTCTGTCAAAGATGTAGACACCTGAGTTATAATATTAAGTTATTCTTAGGAACAATATAATTCAAGTGCCATACCATACTATGTATCGTTTCCAATCACGATGAAAATCCTATAACCTTTTGCTACGAAAACTCTGATAAAAACAACTGGAATCATTGGTGAAACTGTGCACAGCCCTCACTGTGCGTGCTCCTGAAGAGAAGGGGGCAATATTCTAGGCTGGATTCTGATTCTATATGCCTTCTGTAATAAGCCTGTTCTATTTTACAAGCCTGAAATGTTTTTAAAAATCACAGAACAATCCCATCAATGAAGCTTACATCTGATCAGGTATTAAGACAAAGAAACCCAAGGCCTTAAATTAAAATTTCACATTCCTCGGGCCCACACTTCCTGTGTTTTTTAAACTGTGGCACACAGTTTGGGGCTGTATCGAGGTGGCATATAGGGGAAGGAGAGTACCAGTGAATGAAATCACAGAATTACAGGCACTATCATAACCTATAAAATTTTTTAAAATGCATTCAGGTCTCAGATCCTTTGACAAAAATAACTCTCATTTTCAAGAATAGAAAGTGTCAGGGGGTTTTATATCTTCTTATAAGAAATTTCCATCCACTGGATATAAATTTTACTTTTCATTTAAAAACACAACATGTTTTGATACTGAAAACTTCCCAAGAAGGGAGCTATTCTATACACTCTGAGTCACGGTTTTGCTCTGACTGGTGAATCTGCTCCCTCTGGCTCTTACTAGAGAGAATTTCTGAAATGGTTAGATCAAAAGGAAATGATCGGAACATCATCTCTGCTTCTCAGGTCTGGAGGAAACTGAAAAGCAGCATGTCTACAGTTCTGGGTATTACCACCAGATTCAAGGAACCACCACCATGCAGAACACAACCCGAAAGCCGGGCTCCTTCAGGCCAGGATGAGGCTCTGAGGCCCGAATGTTTACATGATTCTGGAGTTTCTCTATAGGAAAAAGAAACGCTTGCAAATACAAATTAGATCACACACATAGATGCTTATCTAGGATGAAAGCCCAAGTTATGAATTATAAACTTCAGAAAACTGACAAATGCCCAAAAATTTCCCCCTGCATAGAACACATTTTTATCCACTGCCAGATACAGTTCTCTAATGTTCCTTTTTCTGTACGGCTTAACTAAAGACTGTTTTAAGTCACTTCTTCCTAAAACAGTTCTGTTTTGTTTTTAATGTCTCCTATATAAAAGATGGTAGTTTTCTTTCAGCTTGGGACTAACTCAGGGTTCCTTCAAGCCAAAAATGTAGTGACCATCCTAACTCCATCTACCCCCCATTCCCACATCTAATCCTTTACTACGTGATGCTCTAATGTCATGCTGGTGCAGTGACAGATACAATGACCAAGAGCGACTTAGGGAGCACAGGGCTTATGTCATCTTACAGGTTAGCCCATCGAGGGAAGTTGGGGCAGGAAACCAACCAGGAACTTGAAGCAGAAACCACGGGGGAATGCTGTTGGCTGGCTTGGTTACAGACTCACGCTTAGACAGCTTACCTTTCTCCTCTGGCTATGGAAGAGCTATCCACCCTGCTTGTGCTAAAGGGCCCATCTCTTAATGCCATCTTTCCACCAATTCCTCCCTTCCTGTCCACATCCTCCACACCCCCACTGAGTCATCCCTAGACGCATATACAAAACCAATTTTCCCATTAAGAATAGAAACTCTTCTCTTGGTCCAGTTCATCTCTGTCTCCTGGGCCATCTCTCTTCCTTCACGGCGAGCCTGCCTAGTTACAGCTTCCTCGCCTCCCACTCCTTTCTGAACCCACTGGAACTGAGCTTCCTCGTCCATAACTGCACAGATGGACTCTTCCCCTCTCGCTGGTGTCCTCACTTCGCTTGACCAGTGGATGTTAGAAACTGTGGTCCTTCTCCCTCTCCTTCACTTTCCTCCCGACTCCCAGGTAACCAGACTTTGCATCCTTCCATCTCTTTGGCCACTCCTTTTCAGTCTGCTTTGCTAGTTTTTCCTCGGCCTCCTAACTTGTATTGGAAGAGCTCAAGGGGCCGTTCTTTCTCTACACTCCTTTGGTAATCTTACCAAGGTTTACAACTCTAAATACCATCTCTATGCCATTGTGTCAAACATCTTTCTCTCTGCCCTAGCCCAACCCCTACCCACCATCTGCTTAGTCATCCCCACCTGGATGAAGATGCACAACTCTATCTTGATGACCCGACTGAGTTTCCAGTGACCACCCCTAAACCTGCTCTGCCCCAGAATTTCCTGTAAATGACAACTCACTCTTCCAGCCTCTCTGGTCCATAACCTGAGTGGTCTCTACCTATGACTCCCAATCAGAATAATCATTCTTTAGGAATAACTGTAAAGGTTCAAAAGAAAACAGAGTATTTTTTTTTTAATTCAACCTCACAAAAACCATACAAGTTTTTTAAAGGTTCTGGAGAGTTGGTGGTGGTCAGGATGCCAAGGACTGGATGGAGTCCCAGGTAGGATGGAAATACAGAAAGTAGTACACAATTTTCTGTTCTTTTCCCTCCTCTGCATTTTCTTAGTTTCTGTGCAGAGCACCTAAGTCAAGCACAAAGGCTTCAGGAGTCTTTCCAAACAGGTAGAGAAAAACTGCCGGTGAGAACAACAGACAAGACTTGAAGGGACGAGGCCCAGAGATGCGGAGAGCATAGTGAGGAGAGCCTGACAATTTGCTTGGCTTTTAATGGAGTTACCTGGTGAATTCCATGCTAGAGAGGCACCAGCAAACAAGAAACAAAAAAGCCACTCAAAGGCTAGAGAGCTCCACAGACCTTCCAAAAATCTCCCAAAACTGGAAAAAATACATATAGTTCAAGCTCATCCAAAGACAGGGACCTGCTGAACATCCTTGGCTTTCTTGAGGAAGGACAGAAAGACCTATGCTTTAGAGTAACAGCAACTAGGAAAAACACAACAAAATTCAGACGCACAATGTCTGAATCCTTCCTTTAAGGCGGTCTTCTCCTCCTCTGTCAGCTACAGTAAAATCAAAGGCTTAAGCTGGGAAAGTACTTCAGTTGTTAGAGCTCTTGCCTAGCTAGCATACTTGAGGACCTGAGTTTGATCCTCAGCATCAAAATAAGTCATTAATTTACTGCTCTGTAGAAAGATCATGTCAGCCAAGGCTTTTGGGCAAGTTTTCCTGAATATTGTGCAATTTACCCACACCCCTTAAGAGTCATCTTTGGGGTGTGGGTAAATCTCTGGATGTGTGGGGATCTCTCATCAGGTCTTCCTGCCAATGCTTTACAGCAGTCTATTCCCAATGAATAAACTGGGGTGGTGTGGCTCTTTTTAATCAAATTGTCAAATTTCTACTCAAAACTCTGCAGGGCTTTTCAGCCTGGAATAAATGTCCAAGCTTTCACACTGACTTTCGTAGGATACACAAGCTGGTTACCGACGTCATCTCTCTTCTCCTCTCCTGCTCCACCCACTCATACTCCTCAGCCTTGTCTTCGAACACGCCTGATGTGAGAACCCTGGTCTTGCTTCTTCCTTGATCTGGAATGTTCTGCTAGCCTTAAGCTTCACTGCTTCACCCCCTTTACATCTTTGCTGGAATCCCACTTTCAGGGTCTTCTCTAACCAGCCTAAAGTCCCTGTCTCCTTAGACCTAGCCTTCCACGATTCTTTTTCTGCTTAGTTCTTAAACAAATTTTACTCCCTTGCCTCATTTTTATGATTCATCTCCTAAAATATAGATTCCACAAATGCAAGAATGGTACATTTTTTGTTGCTGTTGTTGTTTTTCACTTCTGTATCTCTAGTTTCCAATGACCAGTGCTTGGCATATAGTAGTTACTCAAAACCAAACCTTCAACCAAACCATTGCATTTCAGACCATCCAAGACAATCACATAGAACACAGATATCTGGGCTTGTCAACTGAGAGAGACTCTACACAAAAGATTTTATTATCACAAATATGTAAATGCTACTTTCACCAAAAACGTAAATGAGACTGCCCTGGGAGTCATATAAAGAGAACCAGACTGAGGATACAAACTTAGAGACCTTCCAGTAGCTATCACATTATTGATAAATCCCAGCTATGCCTGGGATGACACTATTGATTACCCACTTAGTACCCAGTCTTCCCTATGTAAGCAACCAGTCTGTTCCTCCTTCCTCCTGGAAGACAGAGTGCTGAAACCCCCAGGTTATCATTCTACCTCTGAACTTAAGTGAAACGATTCCTTATTGTTTCAGCTGTTTGCTGTTTGGTTTCCTGCTCCAAAGGGGTGAAAACATTCTGATATGCTGGTCCACCATTTGTATGAAACAATGCCAACTATTCTTTAGTGTTTCTACAACTCATCTGTACAAACCCTTCTGGATTTCTACAGCTCGGACTTTTGAACCTTTGATCACAGCCACTTTTTAATTGATTAGTGTGTGAGTATATAAGGTGTATGTGTAGAGCTCAGACAACTTTCAGGAATTGGGTCGATCCTACTGTGGGTCCTGGTGCTCCAACCCGGGTCAACAAGCTTGCTTTTAGCCTCTAAGCTATGACCCATCAGAGCCATCCTAAGGGTACCTTTTTACCAGACGCTAACCGCAGCATTATATCCACTTACTTCAAATGTCACTTTCTCAAAAGTTTCCTCAAAGTTAGTCAGATCGAAAGTCTTAAGCAGTCTCTGTCTATAGCATTTACTATAACCTTTTTTAACCGTACTACTTAGACAACGGTGACCATCTACTTTAAACTGTAAATTACATTTACCAGGTACAGTTCTAAGTATTGAAGCTTCGTTAACACTTTTGATCCCCACAAATCCAAAGGGATAAATTCTATTACTCCCATTTTGTAGGTTAGGGGGAAAAAAAAAAAACAGCATGCATGGACAAAAACTACAACTTGCCCACGTGTTGCCGGGCTGGTAGCCTGCAGAAGCTCGATTAACGCCTAGACAGCGATTAGCTGCATTGAAGGTGTAACTGCAAACCCAAGTACACTTCACAAACAAGATTTTGAACATCCCTGGTTCTAAAACTAAGTCTAAAACGCTCCGCTCGTGGGCACCCGGAGCCCGAAGGATGAAAAGCGTAAGGGAACCCTGTTTCATCAACAACCTGCCCAGCCCTTGTGGCCCAAGTCGCCCTGTGGGGGGGCCCGAAGGTCCTCTACCACGCTGGCACCGAGCGGTGAGCGCAGAAGGCAGGGACGAATCCACACCGGGGAGCGGAGGAGGAGCTGGGAAACAGGAGACGGGAGCCCGCCCCTGCCCCAGCGCGTAACAGAGCTGGGAGCCCGACCGCCAGGAGCGCGTCACGGCCGGGACAGCGGGAAGCGCTGCGGCGGCGTGGCCAGAGAAGAAACAACCGAGGGCGCCCCTGAAAGAGCAAGAGCACGTGGGCCTGCGAGAATGGCGCTGACAGCAGCCCCGCCGGGCGGCGCCCCGCAGCCGGGCCACACGGCGCTGCCGCCGCCCCAGTGGCCACCGCCGACACCACCATGGCGGCCCGGCCGGCCAAGAAGCGGCCAGCGCGCAGGCGCGCCCGAGGACCCGCAGGTGGGCGTGGCCAAGAGCCGGAAGGGCCCTTTCCTACGGGCCCTCCCGGAAACGCGGCGGGCCGGAACTGCCTGGAGCTCCTGCCTCCAGACGGAACCTCGCGTTGCTCGGCAACCGGTGCGTGCCCGGCGGACTCGCTCCACGCTCCCCGGAGCAAGGCTGGAGTAGCGGCTCCCTGCTGCGCAGGCCCCCTCGCGTCGCGCCCGCTTCCCCGAGAGCCGCGTCCTCGCGCGTCGCGGCATCCCTGCCCTTGGCACTATTTACACGTCTCCGGCTCCCTCGACTCCTTAAACCCCACCTGCCTCAGAGCCCGCCTCCACCGAAGGGGCGGCGGTTCGACCCCCGACATGGCGTCGGCGATGACAGACCGCAATCCTCGGGCGACCGAGGCCTCCGGCACTTACACCTACACCAGCAGGCCCCGGGCCGTGCCTTGCCAGCGCCGCCGCTACCGGGACAGCCTGTTGCAGTCGTGAGTGACCAAAGTTAATTCCTGTCCGGTCTCCGCTTTGCATCCCCATCTGCTTTCCCTTGTCTACTACACGCAGTCAAAACCCCTGCCCCCCCAAAACAACACAACTATGTGGTTACACACAAGCACAGCTGGCCTGAGCCGTGACGTGTACACAAATGGTTATACACAGCCACCCCCAAACGCCACGGGGCGAGGGGGCATTCTCACACACGTTAATCCACAGTTCTGCCAAGTCGGTTTCATCGTGCAGACAAGGTGAAGTACAGAGCAGTGGTACACCGATCGCATGTACCGAGTGAAAGAGCCAGCCCACATGAAGCCCTTTCCACACCAGTCTGGGTGGAATTAGGTTAGCTTTCCATGCAGGACCACAAAACATATTGTTACTATAGTGAATATTTGCAGTATTCAGCCCTGTGTATGTATGCAAAAGACCACAGAGTTTATAGTGCTCTTAAGAGTTCTTCCTGTAAGCTTCAAGTTTTGGAATAGCAGGGCATAAGAGTGAGAGCTTCATGGAAGCAGGAATCTCTGTACCTTTTGTTCACTTTGGACCTTGCCCGCCACACAGGAAGCTCTCAATGTAAATTGAAGTGGTGACTGAACACTTGTAACTCTTGGCCAGGCCTGGCACAAACCTGTTATCTTAGCTCACTCAGAGGTAGAAACAGTAGGATAGCTGAATTTTTCTTATAGTTAGTTCATTTTTATGTTGAAATAATGTGTTGACTAATAGTAATGCAGAAACTGTAGTAAAACATTTCATGAACGTAGTTACTTACAACCCAGAATACATGAGACCCTTACCATAAGTATGGTTACCTTCCATGATACCCTTATAAATATCTTGGGGAATGCCAGTAGCCAAACGTGCTGGTAAGTGACTATGTAACTGTGTCCAAAGAGTGAATGTCTTCAGGTCAGTCTGCCTCTGTACTACAAAGTCCTTAGTCCAATCTCATTCAGAAGTTTCTATAGATGTAACCAACCGTCTTATCAAATAAGAAACACAGAGCCAATACAGAGATAAAAGCCAAGAGGTCAGAGCAATAGCTAAGAGCTAAAAACCTTACCCTTCACTCTCACGGTGGTCCTACCTCTCCGAAAGAGACCTACTTCCTATGTGTCTGTCTTTATAAAGACTTTCTGTTCTGCCTTCTCATTGGTTGTAAACCCAACCACATGACCTCCTCATCACTGCTTGTCTGTACAGACCTCCAGGTCTTCTATGGTTGGTATTGAGATTAAAGGCGTGTGTCTCCATGTTGGCTGTATCCTTGAACACACAGAGATCCACCTAGCTCTGCCTCCCAAGAGCTGGGATTTAAGGCGTGCACCACCACCACCACCACCACCACCACCACCACCACCACCACCACCCAGCTTCTGTGATGGCTTGCTCTTAGCTCTGACCCCCAGGCAACTTTATTTATTAACATACAAATAAAATCACATTTCAGTACAAATAAAATATCACCATAAGTTTCTATATTGACCATAGTAAATAACTTCTCCAGATAACACTTGGCTAGACTGGATAGCAATGTGTCTAAAGCAAGTCAAGATTACAAATTATCTTAGTGAGGTGTATGACTGGGCTGAATCCCAGTTTTATATTTAGTTATGAGAAGTCAATTTCATCAACACAAAAATAGGACTATCTCATTTTTTCTCTCAGAGTAATTTAAAATCTTAACATTAATACAAGCCTGATGGGGTTCAAAGGCATCTTCCTTTTTGTAGCACAATAAATTGTAACACTGAAAGAAACCATTAGAATACACATTTTCTCATTCACAAACAAGAAGTTTTAACAGTTTGCGCATCCCTAATCTGGAAACCTGAAGCTCTTTTTAAATGTATATGTGAATGACTTCTGTGTGTATGTGCACAGGAGCGCAGGTGTTAGTGGAGCCCAGAAGAGGGCATCAGATCCCCTGGAGTTGGAGTTGCAGAGGGTTGTAAGCTGCCTAACATGGGTGCTGGGAACCAGACTCTGGTCCTCTGCAAGAGCAGAATGAACATTTAACCCTTGAGCCATCTCTCTTGTCCCCAAACCTAAAGCCTTTTGAGTGCCATGATGCCACAATAGAAAATTCCACATAGGACAGTATGTGCCTGGTCATAGTCAGAATACAGGTACACTAAAAAATACTGTATATAATTACCTCTAGGCTGTGTAGGTAAGGCATATATGGAACATGTTTACATTTGAATCGTATATGAGCAAATAGTCTAAACTGTGAGAGAAAAATCTAAAATACTTGTAGTCCCAAGTATTTCAAATAAGAGTATCAGTGTGTACATATTTTATATATTTGATAGTTAAGCGATCACAAATACATAAACACAGTAACATTTACCTATATGCTTGTTCCCAAACAAAAATATGACATCCTCCTCTTACAAATCTGTTAGTAAAGAGCATAGAAACCTTCTAGTAAGTATTTTTAATACAAAAAAATGAAATAATTGACTGATCAAATGAAGCTTAACATCATTATGGTAGGCAGAATGTTGTTGGTTCCCAGAACCTGTGACTGCATTGCCTTGTGTGGTCAGATGCACTTATCAGTAAATTAAATTTCAGATGTTCAAGTGGGGAGGTTATCCTGAATGTCTGGTGGGCCGGTGTCATCTCAGTGACCGTACAAGTGAAAGGAGCAGGCAGACCCCGAGGCCAGAGGAGGGCTGCTAGGCGCTCCTCTCTGGTGGCTGTGCTCAAATGCCTGACAGAAGCAGCCTAGCATAGCAAAGGTTCATTTTGGCTTCCAGTTCCAGGGGATGCAGATCACAGCAGGGAAAGTGGCGTGGGGGTTGACATGGCGCTTGCAGTCACGAGGCAGAGAAAGAGTGAGGGCTGGTGTCCAGCTTGCTTTCTCCTTTTTATTCAGTGTGGGCCCTAGACGGTAGAACGATGCCATCCACGGGGTCTTCTCACCTCAGTGAATCCATGGGTTTGTATAACCTTTTAATTCAGATTTAAAGAGACCCCTGCAATGAGAATTGTTCCTGTTATTAAACACTGCTGTGGTCCAGGTACTGCAGCCCTCACAATAGCTCCAAGAAGTAGGTGGCATTACGTTCATTTCCCAAGGTCAGGCAACTAATATGGTACAGCCCCAGTCTACACGCAGATTGATTTGACAGTCTGTCCCATGATTCTTCTTCCTTCTAGACTACTGTGGGCCAGTTAGCTGTACATGGAAGCAGTTCACTTCTTAAGTCCATCTCTGTGCAGTGCTCACCATGTGTGTCAGCATGCTAGAATCCAGAGAGACATTAATGAAAACAGACTGTGGTGTTACCCTTGAAGTCTACCAAATACTAAGAAAGGCAGACACTAACCATGTCACTGTGACACCAAGAGAGAAGCAAGGCATGCTGGGAGGGCACAGAAGAAGGCCACCAGCCCTGTGGGGACATAGGAGGTGTAGTAGGACCTGAGGAAATAGCCAGGTGAGTTTGGAGATTAGGCCAAGGCATAGGGGAGGGAAATGTTTTAAAAAAAAAAGAAATCACATGTTCAAAAGGCCCATAAAAAAAAAAAAATCAAGTCTCCTTGAAGAAAACAGGAAGACCCAGGAGGCGACCGACCCAAGCAGGCATGGAAAGCGGCGGGAACAGGTTGTGAAGCCAGAGGGGCTACATTCAGCTTTCCTTTTTATGCTAGTGGTGATGGAAGAGGAAGGGCAGAGGAAGAGAAGGGTGATAGCAAAGAGGGGAGCTTTAAAATTATCCTTATTGTTGGTTTTCAGCTTATAAAATAGAATACCCTCATAGAAACAACAGAAAAAAATAGGTGAATAAAGACAGTTAATCATTCCTGCCCACTCTGCTTCTTCACTGTTAAAACCAGATTTAACCATTTTCTATTGTTCTTCTTTGTATTCATATAAATGACCATATATATAGGAGAGATTTCTTTCCGAAATAAAATAAACTAGTAAATACTTTGTACAGTTAGCTTTCTCCCCCTATTAAATAAACTTTAAATCTATTTTCCTCCTATTTTCTTATTTGTACATGCACATAAATATTCATAAAAAGCATTCAAAAGAACCCATTCATGCCTAGGGCATTCTTAGGACTTATAGCTCAACCTCCCCGCCTTTCTTGACTGTTGGCCCACTCTGTCCTTAAGGCAAACCATGTTACAGTTCTGTATGCATTTTTCTGTATTTTTTTCAGGCTCACATATTTAAATTCGAATTCATGGCTTCTTATTTATGAATACACAACAGCTCTCTTGCTCTCTCATCTCTCTCTCTCATCTGTGTGTGTGTGTGTGTGTGTGTGTGTGTGTGTGTGTTAATGAACTTTACATCACTGAACAGGGACCAAGAAAACTAGCAGAGGAGGGAGAGGACTTATTTTAGCTCACACTTTCGGAGGTTTCAGCACATGGTCATTTGACCCCATGTTTCTGGAGGTGAGGCAGAGAATCATAGTGGAAAGGGTGTGGGGGAACAGATGCTTACTTCATGGCAGCCAGAAAGCAGAGGAGAAAGTAAGAGGAAAGATCCAGAGCCACGATACACCCTTTAGTGTCATACTCCTAGTGACTTCACTTCATCCAGTGAAACCCAACTTTGTATAATTCTGCTTCTCCATAATCTGTACAAATTTTAAATCCACTAATGGTCTAAATTATTGATTAAGTCAGACAGCTCCTGACCTAATCATCTCTGAGACATTCTCACAGATGCTTAGAAGTTTGCTTTACTTCTAAGATGAACCATTAGTTTATTTCATAGCAACAGTAACACACACAGCTCTGAACCTCTTCTGCCCTCTTAATAATTGGAGTGCTCAGCTGTCTTCTGTGGCATTATGATAATGGGTGTAACCATCACTGTTAAACTTTGCACTTTTGATAGTCAGTTTGCTTCCAGCTTTGGCTACAAAGAATGAGGTTTGACAAACAACTGTGTGTGCTAGGCCTTGACTTCTATGAGGTAGGTTCTTAGGAATGTGATTGTTAAGCTATACATATA